GAGAGGTCTGCTGTGTCTTGTGGGCCAGCTTCCTGGCTGGGGATTGAACTAGTGGTGAAGTGGCCACAGCCAGCTTCGTAGTGTTGTGATTCAACCTGTTGCGCTACCAGAGAAGGTCCCCTCCTCACTTTTGAAAAGCATTCATTTTAGGTAGGTTGAGTCACAGGGTGGTGGGGTAATCAACCCTCTCCAAAAAAGTCAGTGACCTCTCCATTTCACAAATACAGACACTGGAAAAGGTAGAAAAGGCACAGAGGAAAATAAAAATTACCAGTAACCCTCCCATTCAGATATAATTGCTATTGATCTGTGTATGAAAAGAGACAGGAAGCATACATATAACTATGTTTTAACAAGCTGGGAAATATGGTATAAGCTGAATAATAATGTTTTAATTTAATGATATTTTCCATGTCATTTTCTCACATCATTAACTTTTTTCCAAAGCATGTTTGACACCTGGCATATTGTCTCTTTTATGAATGAGATCTCTAATTCACTTTATCTTTGGGATTTCTAGGTTCTTATCAAGTTTTGTTTTTATTTTTTCAAATGCAAGCACCACTACAGTGGACATGCTTGATCTTACAAAAATGTAGGGATATGGCCCTCCTGGTGGTGCAGTAGGTTAGGATGCAGCACTGCAAGCTGGCCACAGCCCCTCCAGTGTGAGTTCTATCCCTGGCCTCGGAGGCATTCCACATGGCATGGCAGAGTACATTAGCAGTGTACTATGTCAATCTGCCTGTTCTGCTCCCCAGTCTCTGGTGAAACCTCTCACCAACCCTGCAACTCTGGCTTGTATCCCAGTTCTGTATGCATAAATAAATAAATCTTTTTAAAGAAAAGTACGGATGTTTTCATACAATGAAAACCCCCAATGTTTTGTCTGTTTTGGTTTGAGAAAAACTGAAAATGGGGTAGCAAAAAATCACTACACGTAAGCTTGCTTTTTGTCAGAGATGGCCATGAAGAAAGGAGACTCATTCTAAGGGTCTTGTATGTAAAGTCACTTCTTCCCTATTTCTCAAACTTGGCTCTTGTGCTGCCGATCACCTCTTCTATAGCTCCTTCTCCCTCTCTCCACCCTGAGACCACTGTGAGCTACCACCTTCTGCCTTCCCTCCCCATCAATCTCTCTGGTCTCAGTGGTGCTGATAAATAAGGCCTTTACTCAGTGTCTGAAGTAATTTCTAAGAGGAGCAATGAAAGATGCCTGTGTCTGAAGTTGTGCTCCCTAAAACTGCTTGGCAAATCACTATATGGTTTTGTCTGTTGGTAGATCCCACAACCCACTTCCTGTGGAAGTGACAATAAGCTCAGAGGTCATTAGCAGTGGTGACTATGGATTTAATTTCTTCACTAGACTAAGCAGCTATTCCCCTGTATTTTACTCCTGTCAGGTACTATCGAATTTGTGAATTTTAATAGCAACTAGGAAAATTGGGGTCATCTTTATTTCCAAGATATAGTTTGAGAAACAGGTAAGAGAGATCATAATCAAACAAGGTTCAACTGAGTGCCTGTAAAAAGCACATCCCATTTGTTGCAGGATTCTAAAAATAGTTCCCAGTGCTGACCTTCACTTTCACAATTATTTTTATCTTTGGTTCTAAATCTGAATGGCACAGAATAGCAGAATTTACAAAATTCATGAGAAAACAACTCATTAATTTTTAACATTTGTGGGGTTTGATTGTTGACCATCATATGCTCCACTTGAAAATATATTTGGGTCTGATTTTTCTGGGATGGCTGTCTTTTAGATAACTTCCAATCTATTAAAAACATGATGTCCTTCATGTGTGAGACAAGGTTACAACTCCCTCAGAGGAGGGTGACATCAGGAACTATCTCATGTTCATCCATTCACATGTACTAGGCAAGAATCAAAGCCCTTGTCCTCTAAGAGGGAGGCAAATAAATGCCAAACAATGAAAATGTTACAAAGAAAATTTAAGCCAAGGATGGAATGGGGGCAGGGCTTGGGGGAGCAGGATTGATATTTAAATCTGGTAGTTAGCGAAGGCCTTTGAAGTATGGGAACAAATCATGGGAATAGCTGTGTGGGGAGGTAAAGCAAGGACACAGCAGGGTGATAGGAGAGGCTTCACTAAGAACCAGCAGTGAGGGGTTTGTGATTAGATGCAGTGGCCTAGGGAGAGGGCGATATTTGAGGGAGCTGGGGGATTAGCTCTAGGAAGGCCTAAGGGGTCTGAAGCAATTGTGTTGAGGTGGCCCTGAAGCAAAGGGGAGCTAGTGACCCAGGGTGGGGCCTTGGCCCTGCCCTTCCTGTGCTCTTTTCTAAGTGCCAATTCACTACTCTCCTTACCCCTAAACTTAGCAGTAACGTTCTCAGATCCCAGCAGGCTGGAAACATTTCAGGATTCTTGGGAGTCTCTGAATCCTGTCAAGGGATCACTACAACAGCCTGTTAGGCAACCTTACAATTCAGTGAGCTGCTCTGGCATCCTAGGTCTGCTGGGAGGGGAGGATATTTCTAACAAAAACAGACTATTCCTGCTGTACCAGTAGGGTTTGACAACCTTCCATCCCACCATGTATTTGGTAGGGCTGTAATTCCTTCTGAGTCCCCACTATCGACCCTGGGATCTCTATGTATTTTTTCTAATGCAGAGAATGATGCTAAGGTTTAGGAGACTAGAAATTTTAACCAGGTTACTTTGTGTCTTCATGGATTTGGGCTGCTATAACCAAGTGCCACAGGTTGGATGGCTTATATACAGAAATTTCTCACCGTTCTAAAGGCTAGAGTCCAAAGTGAGGGTGCCAGCATCGCAAGGTTCTGGTCTTCATTCTGGGCTACAGCTGGTCAACTTCTTACTGTATCCTCATATGGTAGAGAGCAGAGAGGAAGTTAAGCTCTTGTAACTCTTAAAACCTCACTCTCAAGGGCTCCACCCTCATGACCTCATCTAATCTTCAGACTTCCCCAATAGCTACATGTTCTGATGATCAGTGTGTGTGTGTGTGTGTGTGTGTTGGGGTGGGGAGATAGAGACACATACATAAAACAAACATTTGGTGTATGGTAGTTATTGGGTACTGGTGGGACTTACGTTCAGATATAATTGGCTGGAAAGACTGTTTTGCCTACTAGCCACCCACTCATCAAAACATTTATTGGACATCAGTGTTTTTGCTGTAGGTACAAATGAGACTGTTTCTACCCTCAAGTGTCTTGTAATTGAATGGCTGTCTAGAACCTGACTTATTTTGCCCAGAAGTTAAAGAACACAGAGCACCCACTATACTTTCTGAAAGAGTTCTTTTTCTTCTCATTAAAGAACCCTGTCAGCCAGCTGTCTGTCAGGATGTGCAACTACAGTGCATGAAATGTAGCTGTTGACCCAACTGTCCTCAGTAGTATGACTGTTCAGTTAAATTTGGATCCTGGTCACTTTAAAAAGTCTTCAGAGATTCCCTATATGGCTAAAATGAAATCAGGTTAGAGGCTGCCTATCTTGCAGTCGAGACTGGCAGGAACTGCCAGGTTCTCAACACTCACCGAAGTCAATCCAGGCACTGGATCTACGCCAGCCTGATGAAGGGCTGTCTTGCGGGTGGAGCTCAGAGAATGACTACCCAGGGCAGACATGAAACTTCCAGCGAGATGCATCTCAAGAGAATATTAACCACACAGGTGAAAACTGTATTTTCATGTCTCAGTGACCTCAGTGCCTACGAGATTACTCAACATCAATACCCTGGTTGTTTCCTTCAGAATAGTTCCCATGATTTAAGTTTTTTAAAATGAGGGATCTTTTCAGCTGTTTTTCCCCTCAGCAATATGCCTAGCACAAAAAGACAAGGTCAGAATTGCAAGCTGGGGTTGAGGGAAATATGTACCCTTAGCCAAAACGAGTCGGACCTTTCTTCTTTTCTCTAGGATTTTGGAGAAGCTTACGACTGAAGTCTAATTGTGATACTGAAAAGTGCTATGTCACTGTCAAAATTACTAGTTTTTAAAAGACAATTATGAACATGAAATGTGATTTCCACCCCCTGAATTTTTTTTTTTAATTTACATGTGTTATTTGGTGTTAGCATACTACTACAAGTAATTAAAGTTTACAGCTCTTTAAATATTTCAAAGCTTTACATCATATTTTACTATTTGGGGATCTCGGAATGATTCTCCTAACAGCTCTAATCCATTAACTGAAAACCTTTCAGTAGATCAAGGCTACTTTTCAAAAAACTTGAAATCACATGGAAATAGCTTGTAGGCAAGTTATTACCCTGGTTAGAAAGGAAGTAGCCAGAAGATATGGGCACATGTGGCTGGGAGGGTCTGCAGAGTGGGCTCCATGGGTGGCCTCTGCTGTGGAGAGGAAAGCCCATGTGATCGCTGATGCCATGCTCACCTTTGTGTCGGCTGCTGGCAACATAATCCTTTGTGTTATATCTTGTATTTACAGTCTCACCTTAGAGGGGTATAGAAAGTAGGTTCTGTCTGATGTTCTGGGAGGGCAAGGAGCTATAAACAGAGTCCTACTTTGGAAACAGAATTTTCAAGATGTTAACCTCCTGAATATTCCTGCAACCCCCTATTCACAGATGAGAACCTAAAAACTCATGAGGTAATCTACCAGAATTACATGCCAGTTAGAGATGTAACAGTCATTTTGTGAGTCAGCTAAAGGTATCCAGCTCATCCTTTTGAAAAAAAAAAAAAAAACTTGTGTTCTCTAACCAAAAGTTACTACATAGTTTCAGCCACAACAACTTAATGGAAATAACTTGTATTAAGCAATAGAACTTAAGGAAGAATTTTACATCAGATTTTATTTACCTGTTTGTTCTTTCATTCTCAGGTAATAAGTGACTTAACTGTAAAGCCCTCTGTTGAACAATTAAAAAAAAAACTTTCAAATTATTTATATCTATTTTAGGTGAATTTAGAAGGTGAAGAAGTGGATTTTTTCCCCTGGTCTTTCAGAATTACCAGCATATAAAAGGTAAAATGAAAACACAGGTAATCAAAAATGTTTTAATGATTAATGTTTAGACATTATTAACAATGTGGAGATATCCAGATGAGCTAGAGCACACTTTGACAGCACACTACTTAATGTTATTAGTTTTTGTATTGAAATATGTAAAGACATTCGCAAACTAGTACCTAGGAAGACATACATTTTACAAATATACACATTCTAGATTTGATAAGGTAAATGTAAACAGATGCTGTGACTCCTTCCAAACCAAAACCCACAAGACTAATAAGAGCAGTCAGCTCCATATAATATGAATGTGCAAAATTAAAGCATGATAAAATGATATTTACATAAATATCAAACCAACAATTAGTTTATACATTGTCAACAACCTTTTAAATGTGTCACGAGTGGTTCCATTAATGTCCCCTCAATGGAGAAGTAGTCCTGCTGAGGCTAAATTCCTACACTTTGAAAATGACATACCCAACAGTCCTCATCTTTTTAACCACTGCCTCAGGGGTGTAGGCCATGATTTTATATAAGCCAGTCTATTTTTAAAACAAGTGGGTCTAAACAAATCTTTAGATTCTGAATAGGAAAAAAAAATTATAGGTGCTATTAGATTGACATCAAACAAAAGATCTCTATCCAGTTTTCGGTAAGCTAGGCACATTCCGCAAAGAAGTATATGTCAAAACATCATTACAGAAATCAATCCAAATTTGGACCCATTCCCCATCACTCATCTGTGGGACTCCTGTCAAATGGTAAATATTCAAACATCTCTTGAAAAGTATATATATATGTATATATCTCCTCTCTCTAATGAGTGGAAACCAAAATGGACTTTGTTTCCTGTATAAAAACATTTAGCACTTCAGAAATTAAAAATGGCCTACCCACTTCCTAAATCTTGAAGACAAAGAATATATATTTTAAATTTCATCAAGACTGCTTTAGAGCCCTCCATTTTTTTTACATTATTAATAGTGGCACTCAAAATAAAAAAATATGATCTGTTAAAAAGTTAAACTGACTGTTCCACTAGATTTGAGGCTGCCTTGATTTAAAGCCAATATTACAAAACAAAGGTGCCATCTGGTTTCACATCTATAAGTCACTTGAAACTGTCACATGCTAGTTTCATAAATGACGGTCTTTGATTTTCTATACAGAGCTATTAAAAATGAATAAAAAGTTGAAACATACCCTAATTTAAACTAATAAGCTTTGGGCCCTGCTTTTTTAAATTTTAAGGCATGTGTGTTTCTCTACTGTAACAACATTGTACAAATTTACAATCACATGCATGATCTACGGTTAAAAAAAAAAAGTCTGGATTACAGTGTTTTTAAATTGTGAATCCACAATTCAGCACCTATCATGTTATAACTAATAAGGCAACAGCAGTGTCGTATACTACAACAATACTCCCTCCACAGTCTAGCGCAGGGGTCGGTGACAGCCCAGAAATATTAAAAATCTTATGCCTACTTGTATAATTTGCATACATTTTCTAGGGGTTTTGAACTGATGAAGAAGGTCCTACATGAATCACACTATTGTAGGCCGGCCTAGTTACAGCAGCTGTTAACGAGCATCGGCACAATTCATTGTGCTTACAATCAGACGACGTGGTTTGGAGGCTTTCAACTCTGACTTCAATCCTTCCGTTGCTTCCTCAGCTTCATGTTGTTTTCCAGGGTGGAAAAGCTGTTGGTGTGTCCATTCACAGCAGCCACAGACCCGTTCTGGTGTTCCTTCAGGTGCTCTTTCCTCCGGGAGGCCCCTTTCTTGTTGTAAGTCTGAAATGCATGAGGGTAAATGGGAACATTGGAGGGGACTGCATCCCTAATCATAGAGCTTTTGTGACCAGTGCTGGCAGGAAGTAACTTTGTAGTCAAGCAACCATAACAACTTGTCCTCTACTCATTCATTTCACTCATTTAAAAAAAATGAAACAGAACTAAGTGTGCACTTTACTCGGGTCTGTGGCAGGTTCCTCCCATTTGTGTAAAGTCTCTTCCACCAATTACATCCTTGTTTTTAAACTTTTTTTTTTTTTGGTCATTACTCAGCCCTTTCTATAGGTGCAATTTCAGCCTTGCCGGGTCCTATACTTTTAACTTCCCTCCTACTTGGTGAGTGTATGAATATGAAGTGTGCTTAATCCTAGCCCACCAGTATGAGAACTCAATTACAAATGTCCAACCCACCAAGGTGTGTGTAAGGAATGTGGCTGAGTACTTAGGGCAATTGGACTTTTGACTCCTTATCCTTGTCATACAGATTGATTTGAGGAAGGAGAACCTTCAGTGGCCAAAAAGTAATCAGACACCTCCAGAAATAAATAGGAATGAGCCCTCAAGCTTAAGCAATGGATGTATGTAAAGTTCAAGACAGAGGGCCTCTGAGACTTATGGTTAAAAATCACCTGCCATATGTCTGCCACAGACCACAAAGACAGTCAGAACACTGAACAATATTTTCCCACTGGAATCCTAGGCCACCATTGCCTAGAACTAGATGGATAACCATGGAGGTCTGCAATAGATTTTAGTGTTCTCTATGCTGGAATATCTGTCCCTTCTTGAAGGCAGGGTCTGCCTTGTCAGTGAGGCTAAGCTAAAGTCCAGTGCCTGGCTGTCACACATCTCCTTAAATGGACAGGGACTTTGCTGAAAAGGCTCCAAACCCCAAACAGAGAGTAAGAGTTACCTGAATGTAGAAGTTTGTGAAGAGAGTAATCAGAGAAATCATGTATCCAATCTGGAAATATAACCAACCAAGAGGGAATGGACACCGCCAGATGACCCCGCAGCTGGTCTGGACGATTGTCAGCACAAACTGAAGCTGGTGGAAGAGAGTACACAGCTGAGCAGCACAGCCAGAGGCAGGTGGGCTCTCTACCCAGCAACTCAAGTCTGTAATTAGAGCTAGCCTTTCTGCAGGTATCAAAAACAATGAATACACTAGATTCATCCTAAGCTATGTTTGTGTCTTGAATATTGTCTTCTCCTTCCCTTCCCCCTAAGCTATTTAAACCACCTTTAAAATTCAGGGAATAGTTAAAACTGTAGCTTTCAAAGTTACCAACCAAATAGATCTTAAAAGTTTCAGCACAAGAAAAAGATTGTAACTACATGAGGTCATTATTTACCAGGATATATACGTTTATCAAACCACTGTTGTGCACCATAAACTTCAAACTATGAAAAACTTCAGTAACACAGTATATGGATATGCAAGAGAACTTGGGATAGCTCTCTTTAAGGGAGGGTGTGCATGGAAACCAGTGACGTCACTACGGGATGTGCCGTCCCACTGGACACTTTCTCCTTCCTTATCTGTGTACATTTTTGGTGAAGGCTGGTAAGTGAATCCAAAGTCACTGGAATATACTGTTAAATCCACAGAATATTTCTGATGAGTAAATCTTGACAAGCAGGTAGAACTGCTTGAAGAGGTCCAGGGACAATGTTAAAATAAGGTGTGGCTATCAGAGGAGTAACAGGGCAGGGTTCCGCCCTAGTTCCCAGTGTTCCTATAGAGAGAACTGGTTTGGTACTATTATTTGTTCTACTTCCCTAGCCCCCTTTAAAGCAAGTATTCTAGGTTGAGGATTAACTAGCAAATAAATCTAGGCATATTGGGTGCCATCTTCTACCTCAAAGGAGATCAACTCTCTTCAGTTCTGCTGCCACAGAGCCATCCTGTGTGGAGTAAGTCAGTATCTGCCTCATTTTCCCTCAAGAAAAACAATGTAAAAGAACAAATCATCCTTCCTCACAAGGGTGTGAGAAAATATTAACAGGGACCATATAACAGCTGGCAAAGGGGTGATAATGAAATGTCAAACAGGTAACTCAGTAGTCTCAAACTGTTTTCCCCACATGGCTACTTTTAAATATTGAAAAATCAACAACTGACTTGGAGGGATCTAAAGCCGGGATTGAGGGGTTTGGATATTAGTCAGCTAGCTTTGGCCTATCACCCCTTGTATTGCCTGTTATATATAACAGGGATAATGATGAAATTAAGCTTACTTAGCATGAGTACCTGACATACAGTAGACTCAAAGTCTGTTTAACATTGGTAATAGTTAATAATTAGATCATGAAAGAATTCCCAAGGGGAGAATATAGGGTCTATAAATACACTGACGATAAAACTCAAGAAGGGATGATGAGAATTAACTGTGCCTAGGGCAGGTTCTAAGTGGCCAACCCTGGGAAGGGGCTGTCACCTGCATCAGAGCAGGTGCCATTCTCACCAACAGGTGCTCTACTACCTGGGGGGCTGAAAGGTCACCAGGCATCTACCTCAGCAGATAGCCTCACTGGCTAGTAAACCTGACATCCTGGATAATCACTTTCCACCTTGGATTTGGATTATAATTAGAAAACTTGTGTTTATACCTATAAGCACACAGGCCTTGTGCACAAATTAAAGACAAAGACGACAACTGAAGTTAGATTCTCCGACCCTCCCTGATGGCACAAGGGGTTAAAGCATAGCACAAATTTGATCCCTGACCAGGGAGGTAACCTACATGGCCTGGGAGACCTCTCCTATTCTGCCAGCTGCTCCCCTCAGTAGTGTATTTTGGTGGATCTCCCTTTCCTGTTCCCCACTCTGTCTCTGGTGAATCCTCTCACTGCCCCTGCACCTCTGGCATCTACCCCAGTTCTGTATGCACAAATAAATCAATCTTTGGGAAAAAAATAATATAAGAAATTATATTCCAGTCCTCATTCTAGAACTCAGTATGCCCATGGGCACTGTTTCTCCAGCAACTGCTACCAAGAAAATCCCCTACTGTGCCTACTTTAAAGAGTATAACTGGTATCAAGTGAGAAAGGGTGGGAACATCTCAGATGCCATGAAACAACAGAAAATCCAGGGAGGCAACAAGAGAACCCTAGGTCTAGGCAGAAAGTCCTGAGGAAAGAGGCCAACACTTACCAGCTGCCCCTGAGTGATGTACTTCTTCCACCAGAGGTAGGGACGCATGGAAGGGACAGATGACAGAGCATAATATGAGTACATGAGGACGTGGATGAAGCTGTTAAGTGTGGCACCAAAATAAGCTGCAGGAACAAAGATTTGGAGAAGAGGATGTATCAATGTTTTATACACGTGGATTAAAAGCAATTCTAAGTTTCTTTTTGAATCAAAAGAAGCTTTCAAACATTTCAAGCATTGTTGAGTAGAGCCAGTCAGTTTCATGAATCTGGACAAGTCATGTCCACTGTTTCTCATGGGCAGGTGGACTAGGAAAAATCTGTGATCCTGCAAGTTCTCTGAATTTTTCAAATGGAACAAGGCAGTTTCTATTAGAGAGTTGGGTCTGTAAATTCATTGCAATGAAGTGTGATATGGGGAAAGACCACGCTAGTGAGAGATCTATTATCATCCTTTTGTCTGTTATCGTCCTAATTATTAAGTTGAGCTTGAAGTCCTTTCTAGTCCCAAAATTCTAAAACTGTTCACCTTTATCAAGAGTAGTGCTGGCCAAGGGGGAAAAAAATATGTACATGAATAGAACCAGTGGTCATGGTGGATAAGACTTTTGATTGGGACAGTTGTTACGGTTTCCATCTTGAACCTGAAGGTGGTTATCTCTGAGAATTGTAGCAGACTTCAGAGCACATGTTTTCTAAAAGCCAGCCTCCTAGAGAATTTATTTCAAAATTTGGTCTTTGCTATAGAAGATGGCCTGCTGAACATGCCTGATGGATCATAAAAGTCGTCAAAATGTATAGACTCCCTGCTATGCTACAGCTGTGTTTCATAATTAGTTTTGTTTTTTGGCACTCTTGTGCTGTCAGTCTATCTTCCTGACCTGCCCTTGTTAGTCAAACATCTTCCAAATTGTAGGGACAGAAGGCTAGAAATTACTTTTATGCCGCCCTCTTTGAGAGAATACTGTTCCCTTTCTCTTTCTTAATATGCCCCAGGCTGGGAACCTAGTAGTTTCCTTATTTGCCAAATCAGGACAGGCTGTTCACTTAGCTGGCGAAAGGTTTTGTGAGCTTACAGAGTACATGGGCTACACAAACCGTAGTTGAAGGAAATCAAGTACAAAGTTCAAATGCCTGATCTAGAAATCTACAGAAATAATAGCACCTTTTATAATGGCCATAGTTCCCATTCAGCCTCGCTGCTTGTACTCCCTCCCAAACTCCCTCCCACATGAGACTTACAGTGGCCACAAGGGACCCAGTTCATCACAAACCACCAGATGTTCAGCATGGTGGCATGGTGGTAGACGTGGAGGATGGTGATCTGGTGGTTGTTCTTGCGCAAGATGAAGAAGAAGGTGTCCATGAACTCTATGAGTTTGGAGAAGTAGTACCACCAGAGGACACGGATAATCTAAAGGGAAAGGAACATTAGTGCCTCTTTGAATATCACCCCGTCATTGTTTTAACAAAATCCCGTTAGGCCCAAGTGCTCTGAACATCCTAAAATTCTTTGGCAGGTAGAAGTTCTGGTCACCCTACAAGTACCTTTAACCAGATTATGTGAACATGAATTGGGAATGAGTTTTGGGAGGTCAGAAATGGTAACAGGTAAAGTTTTAAACCCTTCAAAACTAACAAAAGCAAGAGGGTCAAAGTTCAAACCCTGAAGTCTGCCTCTTCCCTCTGAAAGCACCTGTAGAGCCAACAGCACAGAAAAAAAACACTGAAAAGCACTTTTTATTTTAGGGGCTGGATTGGGGCAGGTGACAGGATATCAGGCAAAGAAGAAAAGGAATCAACTTCCAGTGTCAGGTCCCTGCCCAATTAAATGTTAAAGAGATGCTGAGCTGAGACCAGCTGTCTTACTAAAAAAAGAAAAAAAGTGAAGTCAGTATCTAAAGATCACGGAAAATAAAGCATTTAAGACATTATGACCTTGCTTACATAAATATAGCAATTTAATCTCTTTAGGCCTCAGTTTCATTATTTCTTAAATAGGGTAAGGATATTATAACAATAATTTTCAGGAGAAAAATGACAAACAGGACTTTTGCAGGTCGAAATTTTAGTTCCTATTTTATGTTTGTAGTGTTAATCAAATTTTCACACCAGGTGTACACATTGACTTAAAAATTTCAACAGGAGGGCCCTCCCTGGTGGTGCAGTGAGTTAAAACACAGCACTAAGAAGCTAAAGCCACTTCTGCTTGAGTTCAATCACTGCCGCCCTGGAGGTGACCACATGGCACAGCAGACCTCTCCTGGCCCGCCCACTGCTCCCCTCAGCAGTGTACTTCATCGATCTGCCTGTTCTGCTACCTACTGTATCTCTAGTGAAACCTCTCACCACCCCTGCACCTCTGGCCTGTACCCCAGGTCTGTATGCACAAATAATTAAATCTTTTAAAAAATATATCAACAGGAATTATCTGGACAGCAAGGTTATAAGCCATTGTCTTTTATATAATGCATTTTAAAAGTCATAAAAGAGAAATACCTTCATATCAGCTTCTCCAGCGCTGCGTGTGTCCTGACAAAAGAAGTTGTATTTACCTTCCCATACTCCTGTCACTAACTTTAAAAAAGAAAAAAAAAAAAAAGTGAATCAACAACAATTATCAGAACAACACTAAAGCCCTATTCAATGCAACCTCATTAGTTTCAGAATTTGTGAAAACTGAGCTGTGCTGGCTATCACAAGTCCACTGAAGTAGAAGACCATAATGATAGCAGAATGAGAGCAAACGTAACATATAAATGGCTTGACCTCAATTCCATAAGGGGGTAGACCTAGGCTGTCACCTTCAGAGGCCCTCCTTTCCCAAGCTGTTTCGCTCTAGAATCTTCCCTTGGTACTATCACAAGTGCCCTGCCAACTGCAATCACAGGTTCCCCCCATCTATCTCCACCTAAGGGGAGATCACCATCTCACAATTAGACTTTCCCTCAGCCACTACTTGTGAAGTTTGGGTGCGCATATCTGTCACCTCAAGGGCACATTAAAGCAGGAATCTATGGGATAATTCTACCCTGTAGATCTGGGGTGGGCTTAGAGAATTCCAGGTGTGAATGAGTTCCCAGGTGATAAGAGATTTGTGGTCTGGAGACCACACTTTAAGAACCATGGCTGTAAACCTAGGGACAATGTGATCAAACCATCTTCATTTCTTGTTGCTGTGTCATGCCTCTGCAGACTAAGGAAATCATGTCCACACCTCAGAATTCACCTGTAGTAGAGTAACCACTGTAGTGTCACAGAGGAGACCCCAAATTGGAATTAAGTTCAGACATACAGTATCCCCACTTCAGACCTACAGAAATAGATTTTTGAGTATAAAGCCCAGCCCTAAAACAGGTGCTTCTATAGGTGAGCTGCTGCACCTAAAGTTTGAGAATGAACTTAATGCCATGATTCCCATTCTAGCTGTGTAACAGGAAAGCATTGAAACATTACTAATGCCTGGTCATATCCCAGGCCACTAAACCAGAACCCCTGAGGGGCTTTCTACAAAGCTCTTCAGGTAATTCTAAGCTACTTCTTGGAGTGGAAACCACTGGTTTCATACTACTTGACTTCAAATAAATGATTTTCCTACCAGTAACATGAAAAAGACTTAACAGACATAAGACCCAATTCTGCTGCCACCCCGACTCCCAGTTTAGCTTGGATTTCCTCTGTAAACAAGTTCACAAAGGCCAAAGACACACTATTAACCACCCATCAGTATGCCCTCAGAAGGAAATGCAGTGGGTATATGCCATTGCACCCACACGGACACCCTGTTCAGTATCTACTTTTTCTTCTGTTGACTTCCTTTTTGTGGTTTCCCTTCTGCTTTGCCATCTTCTATACACACACAAAAAGCATTAAAAGTTAACATGGTTTTCAATGGCTAAAAACCCGCAAGAAGGAGTTTAGCATGAACCTATGAAGAGGCACCATTCATTTTATGATGAAAAGTATCAGGAGACAGGAGGCAGGAGCCTTGAGTGCTACTTCTCATTAGGAGGCTGTCTTTGTCGAGGCTGAGGACCTGGGCAAGACAATTTAGTCACTCAGGCCTTGGTTATTTTTACTGTAAAAAGGCAAAAGTGGACCAAATTATGGCCAATGGGTCTAAATCTCCATAATTTCTGTTCTGCCTTCTTAAAACAGATGACATATAATCTACACTATCTTTGAAGGACTACAACCACAAGGTTACTTACTCTTCTACCACTCCAGGTGTGGCACTTCAGCATACCCTGTGCAAACCTATCAGAAGTTCCAACATCAAGACTCAAAGCCTAAATCAAGTGAAGCTTGGGAGGTGCTGAGGGCCTATTCTCAGGTGACCTGTGGTAGAAGTGCTGTCCCGGCACAGTGTTCTTTGCTGCCCTTCCTCCTACACTGTGAGGGAATTGGTGAATTACTTTCTGTGGCTGGAGGTTGTGGTTCTTAAAGAAATTTTCATGAAAGTGCTGTAAATGAGAGAAATAAGGACAATACCCTTAAGTTTTTGTTTAATTCGTTTATGATAGCTGGACCTAAAACAATGGTGCTTCTAACTTTTGCTAACATGATTGTCTTTGTAAGTTTTTTTTTTTTTAATTTTGTGAATCAAATTCTAGAATCTACCATCACTGTGTGTTCTAGCTGCTATTTTGGCTTGCGGTGTTCCAAGACACTCTGAGTTGGTTAGCCCTTACAATTTGGGGGAAGAATGGCTGGTGTGAGTGTGCCTGTGGAGATGCAGGTATTACCTTCATGACTGTCATGGTGGGGGGTGGGGTAAAGGCAAGGGAGCTTCCTGGGGAAGAGGACACACTCTTCCTCTAATCCTGTAGGTGCCTCAACTTCAAAAGCAAGCACAGGTGTGTGTGTGGGGCAAGTGTGGCAAAAGGAACTCTAAGACTCTAGCAAAAGGAACTCTAAGACTAAGTCTTTTTGAATGTCTTTCAGAAGGAATCCAGGAGAGTGCCTCAACTCTAAGCTAATTAACCTAGCACACAAACCAGAAGCTATCCCTTGGTGCCACTTCCCTGTAACACAGCTACACATTAGCACTGCTGCCACACAACACTCTCTGGGGCCCTGTGCCTTTCCCACTGCTGAATTCTCTTTGAAAACCCTCAGCCACTTGTCCTTGTCGCTGCCTTCAGAATGAAAACCTAATCCCAGGCATGGTATTCTGGTACCCGCACACTTACACAACAGTCTTGCTCTCTTCCCATGCCTGCTGGCAGAAGGCACCCCTTTCTCTTTTCCAATAGGCCTTTCCTTAAGCTCTGCCTGTGACCAAGGGCAAGGAACATAGGGCTGGGGACTTGTCAGACGAGTTTCAATCCTACTTCCTACATGAAGCTAGATTACTTGGAACAAGGCATTTTAGTCTACTTAGGCCTGTTTCCTCACTCCTTAAATGGGGTAAAAATAATTACTCCTCCCTCTTGAAGTTGCCTTGAGGTGTGAATGAGAAGGACATAAAGGATTTCTACTTGGTACACAGGATGAGCACTGGGTTAGCAATGATCATTGTTATTCTTTTTAACTGAAATACTTTCTGTACCCATGAACTCCCATATTTCCAGCTCTTAAAATCCTATCTACCTTTCAAAGTTAGGTTAAAGGTCTATTTCCTTTCTGACTACACCCATCAGACTCCAGCCTGAAGTTCATTCTGCTTCCTCTAAGCTCACCCTGCCGTGGTTTGTACTTATTTGCTCACATCCTTCCTTTAAGTCATTTGTTAACGGGTCTGTTTGAGGTCCTCTGTAAGGTCTCTGGCTGGCTCCTGCAGCCACAGACTACAGTATAAGGACTTGTACACAACAGTAAATGAGTAAACATTTGCTAACCTAATGACAAAGTTCAAGATACTGTGATTTATCCCCCAAATCTAGGCCTAATGTTTTATTTGTAGCAAAGAAACAAACAGAAAGCTTTAATTCATTTCTGCTTCTCAAGTAGAGAAACTGCAAAGCAAGAATATATTTTAATGAGGCTTGAATGCCTCTGAATGCATCTGAATTCTGTTCACAAGAGGCAAACCACTCCTCATCAAATGTCAACTGGGCCATGGAAAGTTCAGTTCTCGAATATCCTAGGCTATAGAAGGGTTGGAATATTTTACCCAAGAGAAACAAGCCACCTGAGTTAAAGTTCATTCATCTAAGATTCTCAGTAGTTCTCTAAAATGGGCCAGTATGGGGTTCTATTCCCTCCATCCTCCATCAGTGGAAAACAGTAACAGACCCCAGAAGTTCTCAAAATGAAGGCCAGCCTTCCCTCTGACCCTTGAGGAGGATATGTGAAGACAAAATTAGTCAAAATCACGTTGGATACCACTTCCCTTAAGGGCTTAAGCCTAGCTTCTTTCCAAAATGCTGCTTTGGTCAGTTTCCTGGAAATTTATCACAACAGAAGGCTGGACAATAGTCTCTACCTTGGACAGGTTTCTATCTTAGGCTTCCAGGAATGAGCTTAAAGGAGGGCATGACAGCACCTCAGTGAAAAGGCGGGCCACATAATAAACAGCTGGCTGCTACCTGTGCAGCTCCCAGAGCCACTAGCTACTGCAAGAGCAAGCAAGGGAGAATTATTTACCTTCCCTGGCTCCCTGGCTTTTCCCACGTAACCAAGCTACAAACAGCACCACTGCTAACCATATGTCTTTTCTCCTCCCTTGGAGTAAAGCAAACTTTAATTAGTCCAGGAGCATGTGAAGAGCTATAATTAAAGCTTACCTAGAAAGCTTTTCTCTCCCTATGAGACAAATTCAATAACCAAAGGTGGTTTCATACATCTTTTCAAAGACGAAAGTTTAGGCAAGAATCACAGCTAGGTCTGGAGAAACAATTTGAGGAATAAACCATTTCTAATAATGAGAGATTACTTTTCTCATCTAACAGCACCTTTAACTAAATGACCTTTAGCATGATAACTATTTCATGGTATTTTCTGGAATGCTACCAAGGCATCTCAAGGAAGAAGTTATCTGAAACCTTTAAAGTACATAAATATCCTGTGTGGCCTTTATCAGCCATCCATCCTAGCATTCTAAGGTATCAGAGCAATAAGATATCCCTTAACAAAAGAGACTGATTTTAGCTGTAAGGGCTTGATGAGCTGACTGGTTATTGGCCCCTATACAGAAATCAAATAAATAAAAGGTATAAAAACAGACTACCCATAATGAAATTCAACTATCACAGGACTCAAGGGCCATTTCTAAGCAATACCACAACAAGAGTGTGGTGGGCTGACAAGCCTTGTTTCTATGTGAATCCCCAAATATGTTATTTTCGAGACCTAGCATAAGCTTTCGTGTTAGTAAGGAAACAAGTCACACAACTTTCTTGGTGATACCAAAAAAGCACCTGGGAGCCCTTGTTCTCGGGCCAAATGCAATCTCGAATAGCAGCGCCGATCAACTTGACCTCCTATCTGTTTTTGAATCCTTAGAACACAAAGGGGATCCTCTATGAAGAAAAGTTGGAAAGTAGATCATTAACTGCATCTTTACATTTAAGGATATTTGATTTAAAATTAACCATTAGCTACTCCACTAGTAGGAAATACTGCGAGTGGTATTTCCTCTAGGGTCAATCCTGTCAGTGCAACTGTAGGGTCATGTGGTTCTGAATGTCAAATCTTTCATGTCCAGACATAATGGATATTGTTATAGACAGTATCTTTCAAGAAAAATTTACATCTGTGACCACAGAAGTGTTTAAGTGTTTTTTTTCTCCTTATGACCAGGAACACCCTTGGGTTACAGCTTAACAGCGTACGCTTGATTAAATCAGGACAGGCTCTGTACAGTAGAGAAGACTTTAGAACAAAGCACAAAGAAACAGCTTGTCCTCAGCCCAACCTGACACAGGTGTGGCTGGCACTGTTCCCTGAACCCTCTTAGGTTAGTAGTCCTTTTCTCTCACTATTCACTGAGAGGTGGTTTCTTGTAGGCTGCTTTCACATGCTCAAGAAGAAACACTTACGGGGCTTCACTGGCTAGGGGCAAACACCTCAAGAAAATATTTAGCATTTTTAGGCAGTATTACTGCACAATGATTTGAAGCACAGAATGCTCTGTAACTCTCTCTCTTGGAAAGGGAACAGTGTAATGGATTTTAAATGAGTTAGCTTAGTGCCTGGCAAAGTAAAGGCACTATGTAAATATGCCTTTGCTATGATTCTGACCAAATCTTTAACAATTCTGCTTCCAATGCTCAAAGGCCCATGTCTTGTTTTGTTCATCCCCTTGTATATTTGGAAGCTCCACCCAGAACACCCTTAGAGAGTCTTCCAGTCTACGAAGTCTGCTTTACCACAAATCCTCTGGTGACATGTTTTTTTTATACCATTTGTAATACCGTGTTATCAAAAGTTTGTGAAATCAGTTTAGAGAAGTCAGGTTGGTTTTGGACCACTCCCGGCGCTTTCTCTCTCTCTTCTTGGGTATGAGGTTGAGAGGAAAGCTGTATCATTCTTTCCCATCTCCACAATGTAAATCATTCTCTCAGGGAAGTGGCAGATAAATTGAGGGGCAAATAACAGAGTGGGATGCTTCTACTCCCAGAGAGAAGTTTTTTTCTAGGGAGGAAATTTTAATTATAAGGGAATTAAGAGTAAGAAGTGTTCTAGGCAATGAGCTTTTCTTTAGTATCTACCTCACCAGATGTTTTAACTCAGTTAAACAGAGGGGGTTTTGTGGTATAGGAGGAGGTAGTAAATAGCTTTTCCAAAGTATTCTGGTAAGCAAAAACTTTTAAAATAAAATCCAGCAATCAACTGCCAGATCTTTTAAATGTTTTTTCAAAATCCCCTTTTCCCACAATAACATATCTATTTCAGGAAAGTCTGAAGGGAGAGAAAAACAAGACCATTTAGAATATTATGTTTCCAAAGCAACTGTTCTATGTTTCTATCAAGGACCTCGGAAGCCAAAGCTTGGGAGGAAGTGACTGTCATGTAGCGGAGGAGACACCCAAGTAACATCAACCCCAAATTAGAGAGGTTAAAGTAGCACAGGCAAACCGCTCTGATCACCAAAGTCCTGTTTCCTTTCATCTTTCTAATAAAGCAGCAGTGGAAATCTTCAAAAGAAGACTCAAAAGAACAAGTACTGTCTTCTTGTGGCAAAATCATCTCCCATATACTAAGCATACACCCAGAAATGGTATATGAAACATACCAAAGAATTCCAGTATTACTGATGCCTAATTGTAAAGTTTTTCTCAAAAAATTATTCAGAAGACAGTAAGTTAGCTTATATTCACATCCTTTTTAGAATCTTTCTTTTACTTAGGGAAGACACAATTACCTGAGGTGACCTTGGCAATACTAGTTTGGGATGCTTACAAAGGCCACAGGGTAAACTGTTTTTAAAGAGAAAAAAAATTTATATGTCTCTGGGAATTATTATGTAATTATAGTTATATTCCCAGATCACTGATATAGCTGAAAGAAATCTTTTTATAGAATATCTTTAAAAGAAATATAGCAAATGAGTAAGTTACATATCTAAACCATGGAGGAAAATAAAACATTTCCATGTTATAGAATTAAAAGCAAGCTATGAATTTTCTAGAGGCAGAAGTCATTTTAAAAGTGAATGAAGTGGATGAAAAAGCAAGTAGACAGAATTGAAAGTTTGAGTGAATGCAAGTGGCGTCTGAGCTCTTATCTAACAGGAGCTCCGAAAGGAGCCATGGAGAGGGCGGAGAGGCCATAGTCAAGGAGTCCTGAGTACTTTCCTGAATGAGATACTGCATAAAGAGGAAGAGCTACTGTGTGGGATCATGTAGTGAGGTAATATCTACTCAGTCTGGAGATGAGGGTAAAGACATGCGGGTCCTCCATTAAGATGAAATATGCCCAAATTCTCATGGCATAAAAGGGCTTAAGTTTGCTGCATAGGTACAGATTTACAAAGCTGTGTAGCTAATGTAACAAGTTGTTTCTCTGCTGTACCTTGAAATTTTATTTCTGAGCCTTTCCCACCTAATTTAACAAATAAAAGCTAAAACCTTGCCATAAAATCTCATACTTTCCATCTAAAACAGATCACTGTTCAAATATACTTCCAGTCATGGATCTATGGCCTTTTTCTTGGAAATAAACACTTAAGTTCTTAAGAAAATCAGGAGCAATACAACTTCTTACCTTTAAGTTTTCTTTCAACTAATGCATAAACTATGAACAAATTCTTTCTACATTTTAAACTCAATTTTAGTTTTCAAACTGTTATTTTCCTTCTAGCAATTTTAAGCTTTCAGTGACTCCCCTTTATTTTTAATCTTCCTTTTTTCAAGATTTCTCTTGGTCGTCTTTAAGTGATTTATTTGTATTAACCTAGAACTTGCCAAGGCAGCCGATAATTCATGAGACAGGATTAAGTAAACTATCAATGACTACATATTTTTTAAATGCTTTATAGACCAAAATGTGTATATAAGCAGCAGGGTAAATAGACACTAACAATCATGACCATGCTGCCTGTGTGACCACAGGGATTTCTATGAATCAAAGAGCTAAGTTGGCTTCATGATCTTCTTAGCTCATTCTGTTGTAAAAGTCCACTGACTGTTGTTATGTATTTTAGTATTCAATGGAATATAAACATTGAGTTTAAAAAAAAAGGTAGTTAAAATGGCATTACTGACTGGTTTATCTAAATACAGAAAAAGAATTCAGGTAAAAATCAAATGTAAATATCATCTAACTTGTATGTACCAAGGGCTTACTTTCAACTCAGACTTATGTGACCTGGGTTTATTTTTAGAAACTTGATTTAAGAATTACTGTTTCCTTATCTATTATTTTTCTATACGCTCTAAGTCTTGATTTTAAAATGTTATTTTCCTCCTCTTTATATTTCTTAAATCTCTATATTCAGTGTGCACGCACTACTTAAAGTCTTCTATTGCTCTTATCAACCTAGCAAGGAAATACCTTCTATTGTGTTTTCAAATTCACTCATATGCACATAGCAGCAATTTGTACAGCAGTTCTCCACTCTCCTTTTTGGGGAATTATCTACAAGAGGTTAAATAACAAAGTTACAGATACATATTTCTAGAGCCTGAAATATACTCAAGACAGGCTTAAGTTCTATGAGTCTTAAATATCTTTCTCTAAATATTATGTGTAATAGTAAACTCTGTAAAAGTTCTCAATGGAAATGGCTCTATTGCCTATCAGTTATGGGAAAGTAAATACTCCGCTGTGGTTGTGTCCCTTGAACACAGATATTGTGCACAGTGCTGGACCCAGGAGTCAACACTGTGCACCGGCCCTGCCTCCAGTCCTGCAATATCCATCTGGGAGGCTAATTAAACTACCTTCATTCTAGAATAGGACAGAAAAAAGTAAAAGAGTTGTAAAAACCTTATAGACTGTTGAACATTAAAGCAATGATTGTAGCATCTACCATGTTAGTCATAAAATGTTTTCTGTGGTTAATGAAACACTCGTGGAAGAATAAGATGCAGAACTCCCACAATCGTAATCCTTCTGATGCTCAAGCACAGTGTTTTCACTAGGCTATCTATACACGTACATGCCCACAGGCAACCACATGCAGACAGGGAGACACCGTCATAGCCCATGGCTGAGTTGGAGCATTCATTCATTCTTTTGAACAACAACACTACTTTCCCTCCAGTTCTTCCCTTATTGTCATCTTTAGCACTCTTTGGAGAATTAAAATTACAATAAAGGGTTGTAAATCTAAATAGATTTACTTGAAGGTGTTGATTTTATTGTGGCTTAATTCTTCACTCCAGATATTTTGTGCTACAAGCATGAAGATGTAGACCTACCTCTAAAAATACACACAATCTGTGCTCACCACCAGAGGCAATGAGCTATCCTACCCCTTCTAGCCTTAATGGTTTTATTAATTGAAATAATAAATACTTGCAACAAGGGAAGGAGACAAACAGTGATTCTGATTTCTCGTTCATTTTTATGTAAGCTACAATATTTGCCTTTGATATTAAACTTGGTTTTCAACATTCTAGTTTTATAAAAGGAATATTTGGGCCTAAACTTACACAGACCATTCAAATCCTAAATTAGACCTCATTACCCACTACTCTTAGTTTTAAAACATCTGTCAAATCTCACAGCTATACACAGTTATCAGATTAGAATAGAGACTGACTTAGCACAAAACATACCAAACAAGTACCACCCAGTTCTTCCCTCACCTCCATAAAGAATCAAACATGTATTAAATACTTAATAAAATGCTTCAGATTTTTCATGTTTTGTTATTTTCCCAATCCGTATTTTACTTGCATAAGAATACTTCTAAAAATTATTTTAAAACTGAATATAAAGAACATAAATAACAGAATCAATATAAAAGACTTCTATTTTAGATATTCTGGAAGGCTTATCTGTACAAACAACTCTGGCATTTTGAAAAATCAATTTTAAGACATACTGAAAATGCATTAATGTACTTACTCTCGCAGTTCTCTCCCCACCCCACACAGCTGCTTTTCTTCATTTAGGAACATGACACCAAGATCAATACATTTAAGTAAGAGGAAATAAGTGTTAACCTTTGACCTACCTCGTAGAACATATAGAGTGACAGCAATGTAAGTCCAATGTTATACACCACTAAAATTCCCCGGCAAGAGAATGCCTGTCTATTCTTCATGTATTTGGGTCCCAGCCACACAATTAGTAAGTATATGATGGAGCAGATTAAAGTTGGTATATAATTGTCCAGGAGGAACCATCCTTTCACCCTGGTGTCTGCAAAGTAATGAAAGAAAATACTGAGTGACCACAACTTTTTGCAAACATTAAAAAAATTCTGTATTTTGACTTATGATTTTATAAGTCACCTGTGCTAAAATTCCTAACACCAATAAAGCAATCAGAAGAGGAAACATGTTTTCAGTATATATCATATAAAGTGAAGTCTCTTATAGTGTGTTCTGAATAACGTGTATATTATTCTTGATTTTTTGCAAAGTAAAAAAATATTCCCCAGAGTTATAAAGAAAACAAGGAGAAAGCTGAACTTTCCATTAATAGAATTTACTAAGCAGATTTGCTGAATTATGCATGGGATGATGAAACTCTAGAAACAGCAGTCTTTGAACTCTGAAGTCCGCCATCTCAGCCAAGTGTCAGCAGTTTGCCCAGCATGTGCAGACGCAGAGGAAGCATGCCATTTAGTCATCTTAATGATAGTTACAGACTAGAGTGGCAGCATCTGCTATGAATGCAATGGCCAAGAGCTGAGGGGACAATGATTTTTTTGTAAGCGAGGGTGAAGCAGCAATGATCAGATAAGTGACTAAAGTATTTAAGCAGAAGCCTGAGAGAAGGGTCACTGGTGTAGGGGAGAACCCCCTATTACTCCTCCTTTCCTAGGCAGGAAAGATGTGGAAGAAGAAAACTGGTTTCAAGTAACAGCAACAAACTGAAAGCCCTTTCCTTGGATGGGGGTAAAGTCCCTGGCAGTCATATCCCCTAAAAGTTATCTGCCCTTGGTAAGATTCAACTGCATCCCCTGGCTGACTCCCAAGAACCACCTCTGCAGCATGTTCCCTTCTGCATCCTGCTAGGCTAGTCCCTAAAAATTGTTACTTCTTAATGTTATCAACCCAAGACATGTGCAGATCTTACTTTTTGCATCATCTGAGAAGCAGCAGCTAGTGGGAACAGTCTGCTGATACCTGGACCACTTTGCTATTTTCTCCAATACTTTCCTTGTGACCTCAAAGGGCAAGGGAAGGTTAATACATCCACTTTGGGAGTGGACTGACAGTTTCCTTTCTTGCACACATTCAATTCTTCCAATGTTTCTCTTTCTTTCCTTGGCTTCAGAAGGATATCCCCTCCACCTTCTTCTTACTGCTCTAGTGGTAGTGGTGGGTGTTACTGTCGGTTCTGTTGAACTGGAGTTCTTAGAAGTGTTCAAGAAAGTGGCCCCAGAGAACTTAACAAGCAGATTCTGAACACCATTTTTCTCAGTTATCAATTCTGAGGAAACAAGTTCCTACTTCACAATTAATACCACATATCATTACACATTTTTTTGTGTGTGTGTGCCTATATCACATTCAGAATAAATGCACACACAAAAATCTCCCATTTCTTTTTACTTAAAGCAGATTTTCCCCTTGTCTTCCAAATTTTATAAAAAATAATAGGCCTTGGGTCTCCCTGGTGGCATAAGTGGTTAAGTCTCAGCACTATGAAGCTGTTTGCAGCCACTGCATCATGAGTTTTATCCTCTGCCAGGAAGCTTAACTTGCATGGCAAAGCAGACCTCTCCTGTTTTTCCCGCTGCTCCCCTCAGCTGTGTATTTCAGTCAATCTGCTTGTTCAGCTCCCCTCTCTGTCTCTGGTGAATCCTCTCACCCAATACCTCTGGCCCATACCCCCTCTTGCATGCATAAATAAATCAATCTTAAAAAAAAAAGACCTTCATCTTTCCATTCCAGCAAGAATCCTACCACTTTCCATACTACCAGGTACTTCCAGGTTATCTGGCCCCATCCGGGGCTAGTAAATCCTTAGGGATTTAGCCAATCAAAGTAGTCCTAACCCACTCTATGGTGGTTTGATTAGACATGGATATGTGAAACAATTGTAGCTATGAGAAGATAAAAGTTGGTAAAGGACTGTGGGGAAGAGTTTCCTTGTTTTTAAAACTAGGTACATGAATTGATTTACTTCCTGAGTGATAATAAAAGACTAAGTATCAAAGGTGAGTTCAGGAGTATATATTTACCCATTTTTAGCATGAAGAGAATTAAAATGTCCTTCATAAAAATGGAGGTTTTAAACTCCTAGTACAGCAGTGCATTTTTGGCAAACAGTTTTAGCTACTGCTACTCACAAGAACTGAGGAAAACAAACCACTGATAAAGGCAAATCCTACAGTATTCTCAGGCTACCAGCACTACAGCATAATTTGATCTCCAGCTAAAGTCAGCAGAGGGTCACAGGAGTTGTATCTCTGCCCCAGCAACCAGGCGGCAGTGCACCACTTCAGTGACCGCCACAGGACTCCAAGCCCCCACTATGTAGGGCAAAGCGTTAGCCTTACCACAAAAAATGCCAGTGTTTACTAGAATCCCTTCATTTAATATTTAAAATTGATGTGGAACAATGGAAGGGTGGAGAGGGCAAACAAAAACATAACCATCTTACCTCGGGGACCAAGCAATGCCTTGAAATAAGTACTAAGTGATGCATCAAAATTTTCCATTTTAAAACCTATGAAGGGGGAAAAAAAAGTGTTAATTTCAACTCAGTGCTTTACATACAAATTTTTTTCATAAAAGAAATTATTTATAAAGATTATGCTATGTATAAAGTTTAGTTGCTCAGGTGCAAACATTTTTTTCCTAGCTCACAAAAAGTAATGGGCTAGGTCTAATTTGAAAAGGAAAGACACAATCCTGTGAATTCAGTTTATAAATGAAGACCAGTTTTCTGAACTTCTTTTCTCAGTTCAATAAAAACCCTTTTTGTGAAGCTGAAATCTCAGTGGGAAGAAGAATGGAACTGGATTGAAAGGTGGCAGATGGAGAAGATCTCATCTGGCCAAGGAGCACCAAACAGAGGAAGATCAGTACCAGACACAGTGAAAAGACAGCTTCCCCTGCTTGGTACTTTCTGTATTATAAAATTCTTCATGTCTAAAGTGAAAAATCAAATATTACAAAAGCCACAATCCCTAAAAGCCCCTCAGTCAGAAGGAAACTAATGGTAGCATTTCTTGGGTATTCCCGGCAGATTTCAACTTTAAGCACAAAAAGGACCATGCCAAATGGATGTTTTTATGATTGTGAATTTCAAACCAGAGGACGATCAACTCAACATTACAATAATCACAATAATCAGAAGGATGTGGCCCTAGTGAGAAAGAATATTGTTTCACAAAACCTTAGTACAATGGTATCTTTTTATAAGTGATAGCTGACCCTAAAGAAAGAGGGGTGGAAATGGGTGAGGTACCAGGTACCAACCCACACCTACCCAAGAATGTAACTTTTCACTTCTGCAAATCTTAATTAAATAGCCTGCTGCCTTACCAATAACCTTCAATTAACACATATTTTGTGTTATATGTATTACATGTTGCATTCATAGAGAGAATGAACATGTTTAAAAAATCACAAGAGAAAATGCAGTGGAAAAACATCAATCAGGAAATCCATCAACAACCAACAAATTAATTTAAAAAATCAGTATATCCCTAATAGTTCAAACCTGTATTATTTAAGGGTCAGTCATATACTTGTTGTGATGTAAACTATACAGAAAATGCTTATTTTCACTTAATAAAATCTTAGTCTCGTGTTAGTAATAAACAGATTTACCTGAATCTTCTAAGATTTTAGAATCTTACATTTCCCGCCTATTTAAGATTTACATTTAGAGGGTAGTTAAGCAACTTTTCATGTGTATTCATTATATTCTCCATATTAAATTTAGGCGGCATCCTTATCAACTTTCCTGGCAATTATTCTTATAGAAATAATCACAAACAATTTAACTTTCAGAGACAAAGGCAAAATCAGTTTAACAAATTATTAGTTATTTAATGTGGCTTCTCTTCCTTGCCTTGCTATAATGAAGTATATGTATTCTTAAGCTGATTTCAGGATACTTCACAATAGTTTGGGTGGCTCCTATCCTTGCAAGGGAGTCAATCCAGCCCAGCTGAGAGACTGCTATAGGTCATCAATGGCACTTAGAAAGTAGTAGCTCCCAATGTTAGATTCAGATTACCAGGGGTCTGTCCAATACCTTTCTGCACAAGAAGGGACTCAAGGATGGTTCTGATTCCCTCAACCCATGGCTGGAAACCAAAAAGCCACCAGCTTCCACAGAAAGGTGCCACCAACTCAGGGTTACCACCTTCACCTCTCTACCACTGGATAACCATGGCACTAGGTCATTTCTCAAATAAAAAAAAAAATGCTTACACACACACACACACACACACTTTTCTAAGACCATTCTGGTCTTGAATCATTTTCCTCTCAACTAAACCCTTCCTGAGGAGGGAAATCTTAGAAAGTCATGAAGAGAATTAGTTTAGCTTTACATTTCCTAAACAGAATTCCTTTACTTTTTAAAAAGATTTATTTATGTATATAAAACCAGGGTATAGGCCAGAGATGTGTGTGTGTGGTGGGGGAGCAGGATGAGAGGATTCACCAGAGACAGAGTGGGGGGCAGGTCAGGCAGAGTGACTGAAATACACTGTTGAGGGCAGCAGTGGGAGGGACAGGAAAGGTCTGCCTTCCAGGTGGGTCAGCTCCCTGGCTGGGGATTGAACTCATGCTGTAGTGGCTGCAGATGGCTTCACAGAGCTGTGCTTCAACAGGCTGCGCCACCAAGGAGGACAGAATTCCTTTAAATAAGGATTCTACTAATCAAAAACAGTATTTTCATCTTTTGGAAATTATTTAGAAAAATGCATGTTTGCAAAGATAACCATTAGATTTAGTAAAATCTAAATCTAACTGAAATTCATCTGTAATGGATAGTGGGCATATTTATGGCAGATAGAGGGCCCTAGGACTCCATTTCCTACATCTTGAGCTCCTCAAGGAGGAGCAAGGGCACGAGTAGTGGCCTAAGCAGTGATGGACATGATGCCCACAAGGACAGATTGCCATCTTCCACCATCTTGTATTTTAAATCAAGATTCTGCTGTTACTTGATGGGTCTATAGCTCACTAATGAGTCATATTAAACATACAACAGTTAAAAGTATTAAGCATGAGGAAGCTGAGAGTAGGTACAGAAGTGGAATAGGCCAGCAGGTGATTAAGGGGTTTAGTGCTGGACTCCTATCAGATAGCTTGGGTGTGGAATCCATTTTGTTCACTTACTAGTAATATGACATTGTACAAGCTATAACCCTCTCCCATATATAAAATGAGGGAAATAGCAGTTGCTTCTAAAGAAGATCAAATGATTGAATACACACAGGACACTTAGAATCTCCTCAGATGTAGTAATTTCTCAACAAATGTTTTCAACTTTATGTTTGCCACAAGATAAATTCCACAGTGAATACTGCTAGTCATCTTTGGCCACTTGTGTTACTCAGTGTCATTCCACCCTGGTCCTTTTGACTAAATGCCATCAGTGAAACGTGTCACCACAACAACCCACAACATCCACTTCAAATCTTAACACCCTCCAAGAGGAAAACAAGGTAAGATGAAGTAGCTGATAACACTGAGAGGAACTTGTCAGCAGAAGATATTATCTAAATATGAAATCAAGATTAAAATGAATGTACTAATTAGACACACAAATCAAGTACCTACTGTGTTCAAAAACGGATAAAGACAAAGGACCAGAACTGGAGACCTAGTAACAACTAAACATTTGCAATGGTGAAATTAGTCAGATGCTGTGAGCCAAAAGCAAAACCAAGTTTACAAATGCACATGTGTTAGAATAATACATCCTAAAACAAGCTGTATATACACATTTAATACTGAGCTATAAACACAATATTCAAATACTCTATAGGGATATAACATCAGAAAATATACCTGTAACGGGTCCATTCTAATTCTTTTTTTTTTTTTTTAAGATTTATTTATCCATACAGAACCGAGGTATCGGGGTACAGGCCAGAGATATGGAGGGTGAGAGGATTCACGAGGGACAGAGTGGGGCGCAGAACAGGCAGATAGACGAAGTACACTGCTGAGGGGAGCAGCGGGCAGGTTAGGAGAGGTCTGCCTCGCCATGTGGTCACCTCCAGGGCAGGCGGGGATCGAACTCATGCGGAAGTGGCTTTAGCTTCTAGTGCTGTGCTTTAACCCGCTGCGCCACCAGGGAGGGCCCCTGTTCTAATTCTTCACTGAAAGGTCTTTTAGAACGCCATAATCAGTTCTGGTGTCTATGTAAGGATGATATAGAAAAGGTGGAAAAGAATGAAAACTTTTATTTTATTTTTTTAAAGATTTATTTATTTATTTATTCATACAGAACTGCAGTACAGACCACAGGTGGCAGGGATGGTGAGAGGATTCATCAGAGACAGAGTGGGGAGCAGAACAGACAGACTGATGAAGTACACTGCTGAGGGGAGCAGCGGGTGGTTTAGGAGAGGTCGGCCTTGCCCTGTGGAACACCTCCAGGGTGGGGATCGAACTTATGCTGAAGTGGCTTTAGTTTCTTAGTGCTGTGCTTTAACCCACTGCACCACCAGGGAGGGCCTGAAAACTGTTTTAAATGACAGTAAGAGACCTGGGATTTGAGGCTCAGAAATTGCCATAAACAGCCTACTATTAGAAGGACAACAATGCCTAGGACAGTTCAATTTGAAAGCGTCTTGATTAAACATGAGGTAGAATTTCAGTCCAAATATAAGAAACCCAGCAGCAGGCTACCAAGAAATTGTGAAATTGGCATTTGAAAATAGTGAAGAATTGTTACTGGCCATCTATCCCGAATAATTTCAAATCTAAACCCATCTTGCAAAGCAACCTTGCAAAAGCAGCATCTTTCTAAGATGGACCATCTCTAGGAAAGCACAGGGAAGAGAAGAGGTGCCCTTGTCAATAAAGGCACATCTGTTCTCAGCTGCATTTCTTCTCAGCTTGAGCGCTTTTTAAGTTTTCACTGTTAACAAACTTAGATACATAGAACAGCTAGCATGTGGCAAACGACAACACTTTTCAAGGAAAGTATTTGTTACTGCTAAAATATCTATGTAGCAAAGAAACACAGGCCCGGGAATCACTGGAGTCCTGGTTAAAATGTTTTCCCCAAACTCTCTCCCTTACCATCTCTCCACAACTGGGTGTGTAATGTAACTTTCTCAGGTTTGTTTTGACACAGGTTGCCAAGAGACATCTTTACCAAGGGTTTACTTTCACCATTTACTCAGCACAATGTTAGGTTTCTGTCCAGCCAACCACAACCTAGCATCCCTCTAAACCACACACTGATGCACTAAGGCCAAACTGTGAGGAACAGACACATATGTAATTATATAAAGTAACTGTTAGTGAGAAAAAGTAAAGCAGGGCAAAGGGGGTGGGATCATGGAGCTGGATTTACTTTGGAAAATAGACAAGATCACTTGAGAAGATACAATAGAGCAGAGGGCTAAAGGAAGAGTGCAATAAATCAAGAGAAAGGCTTTTCAGTTAGAAAGGGGGTGCAAAGGCCAATGGCCAGGACTACTTGCATACTCAAGCACCACAAGCCAGGCCGAGGTAATGGGCAACATC